GCCACTGCAGTGCCCGTGAAGGAGGTATCAGAACACGACCGCCTCTTCTACTTGGCGCGGACATCCTGCTTTAAAGAGATAATGGGCATGCCTTTATGGACGGGGGATCCACATAAGTAGGCCGCTAGCCTCGCCGCAACAACGACAGGGTTCTGTTTAGGATCCTCACGGCTCGGGATGACGAAGGCCACTCGCTGTTGCACTGGGCTGCTCTGGTGGACGACTTTGGTTTTATCGAGTGAGTTGACAAAGGAGCGGTATGGAGGAGTACTTGCCTTATCTCAGAGCGTTTTGTAACCTACCAGACTTCGACACTGTTATTGGCCCGGATCCTAAGGCTAGTAACCTACAAACACCCCTCATGTGGGCTATAATAAAAGGCAACCTCAGGAGTATGGCCTCCCTCTACGGTAGAGGCGCCTCTTTGGCTGCCGTTGATTCCCTCAAGGTAGTATGATAGCTGTTTTCCCTATCCTGTCTGGTGGCCGGTTACGTCCCTTGTGCGCTTGTGTCGCTCCTTGGTCGGGAGAAATATTAAACCCGTGGTACCGAAAGTTTGCCTCACGCTTCCTCTTCTCACTTTGTTTTTGTCAGGCAAATGGCATCATCTTGGCGTCTCAGCACAACCAGCTATTAGCATTACTACTCCTTCATTATTGGTGCCAACAACAGGGCGATATGAGCCCTTTATTCGACCAGCGTGATCAGCTCGGGTGCTCAGCTGCTCACTGGGCTGCTTACAAGGTTAGTCCGTCTCGTTGCTTTCTCCCCTTAGTAGTCCTCAGGGGTATGTGAATATCCTGCGCTACCTGGACTACTTTGGTTTGCTACTTGATGAACAGGATAACGAAGGGAAGACGCCTTTGCATAGAGCAGCTATCTCTCAGTGGCCGGAGGTAGGCTGCGTATAGCGCGGTTTATAACGTAGTGATTTGAGTCGTCTCGATCAGGCATGTGATTTCCTCATAGGAAAAGGGTGCAATCCCCTTGCCCGAGACAACAATGATGAAACACCTCTAGATATCGCGAGGAAGCATGTGAGCTTAACAAGGCCATTCAAAAGTCGAGATGGTGTGGTATTCAGAAAAATAATTTCCTGGCTAATTCTCTATTGAAATCTATCGTCAAGCACAAGAGTAAGCAGAGACGAGGATACCGACAATTAGAAGACGCCAACGAACTAACCATCAGGGGAGTAGCTCGAGCTCCTCTGCCCTGTAGTCTACTTGTATTCCTACTAGTCATGCGCGTGCCTCAGAGAGTTGTACAGACGGTATGGAGAGGCGCGCTCGCAGACGCTACTACTACTGCATGGATAGTGAGCTCATCACTA